ATGAGGCCTTAGAATAGTACTTGGCACGCAGTAAGCATCTCCACTTATATTACCAATCATTTCATTATCTATTTATTTTATTATTATTATTTTTATTTTAGGGAAGGGTCTACAGGGTGTTCAGGGTCTCACTACTAGATCAGACTCGTAGTGATTCTCCTGTTTACAGCCTCCCAAGTGCTGGGATTACAGGAGTGCGCCACCATGCCCAGTCTCAATTGCCATCTTAGTGTGCCTGGGGGTGGGGCCGGCACGGCAGGCACAGGGATCAAACCCCCAGCCCCTGCGCCTGTTTGCAGGTGCTTTAATCTGATTATTTCTTAATTCGTGTCCATAGAAGGCCACATATGAAGTAGATGGAAAGGCAGGTAGGATGTGTTAGGCTACTTAAAATGGAATCTCTTGCCTGTTCTCTCACCCTCATTCTCTTTCCTCCAATGCCAGTAGTTGGGTTTGTGTGATGTGACCTCACTATGAATTGCTTGTGTGCTTTCCTTCTGCTGCAGTTCTACACATTATTAGATGGGTTTTAGTTTGAACCCCTTTCTAAAGATTGAGAAAGGGGAGGAGAAAAACAGGTTTGGAGTAGTTTGACTTCTTTGTCTTTCACAAATATTCGGGTGCTTTCCACCTACAATGGGCTTGACCTTCTCTTAATGTTGCCCTCCAAACAGAGATTGAGTTCCTTTGGTGGCTTTTAGCTTTCCCTGCAGCACTGGTTCCTCCTCTGTCTTCAGCTCTGTGGATACTTTTCTTATAGATTAATACTCTTCCTTTTCTTTTAGTATTGAGAAAGTTAAAAAGTCAAGAAGAAAGGCAACACTGCAGAAAATGCATGAAAAATGGCCAGTCAGTGTTTTATTTCTAATGTGAAGAACAGAAAAGAGCAAGGTCTAAGGAGCTGGCACGAGGAGAAAGGAACACTTGCCTTTATATACGGCAGAAGCTTCTATCCTACCGAGGTGATGAATTCCCAGAGGCTAGAGCTGCAGAAGATGCGTGAGGCTCTCGGCGGCAGCCAGCTTGGCACACCTGCTAGCTGCTGGAGGGTACAAGCCAACTTCTGACCCTGCCCAGAAAGTTCAGTTACTGTAGGGATCTGTTTTCCCTCTCAGATTTGGTTGGCACTGAATCCCTTGTTCCTGAGCTGATATGAAGACTAGAGAGAAAAATGTTACATAATACTACTAGGTGCAAGATATTTTTATTAACAGCATCATTTGAGCTCATATTTTACTTATTCATTGATTAATTCATCTATTCAACCAATATTTTCTGAGCATTTATTTTTCAGACACAATGAAAATAGATACAGCCTTCTCCATTAAGGAGTTCATGTCACAATAGAAGGATAGGCACAGACACATAATACTGCTGCAGCAAAATGATTCTGATGTCTTAGGTTGGGGATCCAACATTGCAGACAGTGATCCCAGCATTTATAGTAGAAGAAAAAGAACCTGAGACAGGAGAGGGAAAAACAAGCAGGCACTGCTATCAGCATCTGGGACTCCTTCCCACTGGAGATCTCTCAGAGACAGTGTGTGTCCCAGCATGTCTCGTCTGAGGGTGAGGAACTGGGTATCTGCCCATTAACTCTGACCTTCAGTCTACCCTAACCTTGTACAAGCACAGCTTAGCCCCAGACAGTAGAAAGTCAAGGGTGGGTAGGAAACAACAATGCCAAGAGCAGGTGGCAGTGACTGTTTCTTATGTGAACTCACAGAAACGGGCTCTCAGCTCAACCTGATTGAGTCCCAGAAGTCTTCTTAGAAGAGATGACAGTTGAGCAGTCTTCTAAGAGGTGCATTACTCCAGAGCTCCTCAGTGGCAGCATGGACACAGAGTCCCCAAGGTTTGGCTGTGTTACGATTTTCAAATAGCAAGGAATGGCGGTGCACAGCTGTAATCACAGCACTCTGGGAAGTCTGAAGCACAAGGATCACATGTTCAAATCCTGCCTTTGGAACTTAGCTAAATCCTGCCTCAAAACAAAAAAGTAAAAGGTCTAGGGATATAGTTCAGGGCAAAGGCCCTGCAATTCAGTTTCTATTACTATCCCCAACCCCACACCAAATAAATCAAACTGTGAGTTCCAGCTAAGGTTAATGAAATTTCTACTAATAATCCTAGCCACACAGTTAGAGAGGCTGAGAGCAGGACACAAACTCAGGTGACTAACAGCTCCTCATAGGCTGATGTCTCCAAAACTGAGGAGTGTGTGAGAGGGCGCAGTGAACAGTCAGTTCTGGTTTCCTAGCACAAAGAAACCCAAGGACTTTTCTGGGTTCATCCATGACTCACTCCAGGTTTCTATTTGTGGGTTAGTTGTTTCCTAGAGCCTCCGTCCTCAGAGAGCTGCCGTCCCACAGCCCTGCCCAGCCCCCAGATGCTGGCTGCATTTGCCGCTCTGTCACCAGCACCACCTCCCAATTAGCCCAAAGGTGTGGCCATCTGGCTGCCCAGAATTGCTCTCCCCACCTTCAGCTTGCCCTGAGTGAAGTTCAGATTGCATGCTTCCCGACACTCAGAAAGACCCATTAATATTTAGCATGTTGCATTTCCAAAGCACTTTACTAACGCGAATTGATCTTTTCGGTACCCCCTTGCAAGGCAGCTCAGTACTGCCAGTCCTAGTGGGGACCTACAGCTTTGGGAAGATAAGCTACTTAGGCTGGAGCCATGACTGGTGAGCTATGGATCCAGATTAGAAATAAAAGTCGATGACACCAGTTGTCTAAGCCTTCAGACAGAACTCCAGGTGGCTACAACTCCCCCACCCAGGATGTCTTGGAACAAAGCCAGCCTTCAGAGGGCTTCAATAGAGTTTGTCATCATTAAGATTGAACTGCTTACAAACCAGCTACCATTTATAGAGCACTTATGTGCCAGGAGCTGGGAACTGTAGATAGACTGTACTTAGTTCTCACAATCCTTGACTACCTTCTGTGATGTCATTATTACATTGTGTATCAGATAATTGGGGCATGGAAAGATTAAATAACTTAAAGTTTCATATCTAGTAATTATGGAACTAGAACTTAAACTCAGGCCATTCGCCTTCAGAGATCTCAATTATTAACTAGTTTAGGTGTGGGTAGAGAGACAAGTGGAGTTACTCTGTGAAGTGCTGCCTATTTCTATACAATTCATCACATGCTTTGCAAGATGAATGACCTAAAGTTAAATACATTACAGTGGAAGAAAATTTGGGGGTCCTTATCTCAGGTTTGTTCCCTGAGAACTTGCAGTAATCCTCCTGTTCTCAGCTTCCCAAATGCTGGAATTACAGGCA